TTTTTTAAGGATAATTTATTAAGGACCTTCTGACAAGAAATCTTACATTTTAGGAACATTTTATTCAAGAGCCTGCTGATCAACGACTTTAACGAAATTCCTTCCAATAATTGAAGAACCTCATGAACTTACTAAACAAAAATTTTGGAACTTTTTTCAAAGAGATCTCGGCAAGCATTATGTATTAAAAAGGTTTTCCAATAAACTATTGATCAAAAATGGGGAATATTTAAGAACAATTTTTCAAGGACCTTCTGATGAAAATTTGTGGATTTTGAAGCATATTTTTCAAAGACATAAAATTTAATACATTTTTTAGTTCCCAATTTATTTCTTTTTCTTAAATATTTTTTGGGCCAATTTAATTTCAATTTTTAAGAACTTAATTTTTGGGACCGAATATTGTGATTTTGAATAATATTTTCTCAAGGACCAAAAGTTAGGATTTTTTTGAATATTTTTTAAAAATTAAATTTTAAAGGATCTTTTTAAAAAATGGTTTCCTCCTACTAATTCCTGTCATGCAAAATGCATTTTTATACCCTACAACACTATGTGTTAGGGGTATTATAAGTTTGATTGGGCCAGAATTTATGTAACACCTCGAAATATTGGTTTCCCATATAGGAAAGTATATATGGATCTTCCTAGCTCGCCGAGCTGAGTCGATCTAGCTATGTATGTCTCTACAGGTCGCAATTATGTCCCGATCCTTACGAAATTTTGCACGAAGGTGGAGTTAGGGTCAGAATAGAAGCCTATTTCTTTTGGAGATGATCGCCAAATGTTTAGGGGTTGAAATGGAAAAAAAAACTGAAAAAATTTCGAATTTTGCAGGAGCTATACAGGGCGCAATTATAGACCAATCGACGCGGAATTTCGCATGTTGCTAGAGTTTAGGGCGGGGAAGAAGCCTACCAATTTGGGTGGTCATCGGATAATATTTAGCGGGTAAAATAGACCATATTTTTTTTGTTGAAAAAATTCAAAATTTTTCATTAAACCGCGAATATTTTAAATCCCGGCGAAATCATAAAGCCATGACAAGGTTACTTCTGGTCTTTACATTGATGTTAACATCCAACAAAACGGATATATAGCAAAATATGTGCGATATATATGTTTATCAAAGAAGATATGCTTGAAAAATCTCTTATATGTCGAGAACGGCTGAACTGATTTCGACAGTTCTCATTAATTCAGAATGGCCTCTTGGCAGGAAAGAAAAAATGTCTAAAAAAAATCGCATAAAAATATCTCTCTAAAGATGAAAATATTGATTTTGTAAAATTTTCTCATATTTTTTCAATTTTGTCATATTTTTGGCATATTTTCATTTTTTTTTTGAATTAAACATTTGGCAATATTTCTACAGCTAACAAAACTAAGTAGTTAGGATATCCGGATATCATATACAGATCGCATTTATGGCCCGATCCTAACGAAATTTTGCATGGGGATCAGATGAGGGTCAGAATAGAAGCCTACTCTTTTTGGAGATGATCGCCATATATTTAAGGGTTGAAATGGACCAAAAAACTGCAAAATTATCAGCAGGTCATAATTATCGCCCGATCCTCACGCACATTTGAATGGGGGTTACGGGCATTGCAAAAAGCCAAGCAGTTTTGGATGGCCATCAAAAAATATTCAGTGTGTGAAATAGTTTGCCAAATTTTGTAGACAAAATACGAAAATATCCATTCCAGTGACTTTTTGGATAATTCACAAATACAGGAAAGACGCACTTCTAACTATTTCGATAACGCTGATTTCGTTAAGGAATATAGTCAAAAGTCTTTATCTCATATAGATGCGTTTCAGTCAAAAACCAATTATAAATGTTAATATTTTGCCACTTCTGAGAGATTATAGGTCTTTGGGAAATATTGATTCCAGATCTAGGAAGACCATTTACGTGCAACATCTGCCAATAAATTGAAAATGAGCAAATTAGTTTAAGTTGCTATTATTCGAAAATTAGAGAACGAAACCAGATGGTTTTCTTTTATTATTTGTTACAATATCTAGTGGAATTTTTTCGAGTATCTCGCCTATATAAACTGTATGGTTTATTATAGTGTTGTAGGGTATTCAACGGTCGGCCCCGCTCGGCTGTAGCCTTTGCTTACTTGTTAAGAATATTTTTCATGGGCATCCAGTTCAAACGTTGATAATTTTCAAGGAAATGTTTTAAGGGACTCCTGAGTATAAATTGTAGACTTTTAAACAATTTTTTTCAAGATCTTTTTGTTTATTATAGAAGGTTTTTTAGAAGGTTTTTGTAGATTTTAGAAAACGATAACATTTTCCCTGGGACTAAATATTGTAGGTATACAGGAGCAAAATCGTGCTATTTTAAGAACATTTAGCTGGGGACTAAAAACGAAGATCCAGAAATAGCAATTTTACAAGGTCCATTAATATTTGAAAAAATCTGGAGCAAAATGCGAGGATTTTTAAAGTTTTTAAAATCTCGTGGGTAGACCAACTCTTAGCAAAACAATAGGTAAGGTAAATTCCATATAAAACAGTACCTCCAAATTACAACTAAATCAGTTACAATTGCATATTTTTTAGTGACTCACTCCTGTTACAAAATATAAGTATAACCTCCTTTAACGGAACCTTTAAATTTTAAGGATTTCGCATGATGGAGACTTTTAAAATTAAGAGTTTAAAAACTTATTTTCATTTTACTTGTTTTTCCTTGGTTTGCCGATGCTTAGTCTCGAACTTCCGCGGTGACATTCTTTAGTTTAAACAACTCACTATTTTCAAACTAGTAATGAAAGTGGTAAATTTTAATATAAGTTGGTAGTAGGTTACTCCTTTCATTTGGCTGCCAAAATTTTTAATGGGTGTATAGGCAAAAATTTAGCTTTTTTGAAAAAAAGTGCACTTTCATACTTGTTACGTCGGTGTATTAGATTTTAGCCACTTCAAAACAACAATTCCTTCTGTTAAATCATTCAAATGATTTTTTAATATTATTTAAATTTGATTTGTTGCTCAAAGAGCATTTTTGAAAACATAACATTATTTAAATTAATTATTTTCAGTACTTAATATTTTAACGCTACAAGAGCCACCTTAATGTCATTTTTTCTGTTTTCCCTTTTCTATTATTTACTTTGAATTCGCCCTAAAGAGAATCCATCATAACTAGCATTGTTATTGTAAATATGGATGAGCAGTCAGACGATCAAGTGATAGGCAGAGAACGCACATACGTACAAACATACATACATACGTTGAGTGCATCATATCTGTTTATGTTATTGCTCTGCCTCTGCTGATCGCTCTGCTGCTATTCAATGCAAAAAATATTGTCCCGCTATTCCTTTGGTTCTTAAACCAGAATAGAAAAGAAATAAAACATTCTTATTTGAAACAACTAAAGAGTGAAGAAGTGTTTTAATTTGGTGACGGGCTAGAGGCAAACAAAAAAGGAAAAAATAACCCAACACAGTGGTTGAGTAAAAATTGCAAATTAATTTTGGAGAAAATTGCATAAAAATTAAGCTAAAAGTGGAACTAAACGAAGGCGAGAATTTTGGCGTGTCTCAACAGAGGAAGAAAATATTTGGACAAATTGCTCTTCCAGGAGAAAGAACTTGCTCAGGGAATTCTACTTGCAATTGGATAACCGTGGTCAGATTAAAGGCGGAGAGGTGTATTAAAACACCTTTGTCGTAAGTGGCCCTATAGACAACACAATTGCCCAGAGTAAGTCAATTTACATACTCAAGTCGAACCCTTGAGTTAGGAGTGTGTTTAATTACATATGAAACATATTCCGGGGTTGTCAAAATAGGCAATCCTCAAACATTGGCGACCGTGACAGGACACTTGTGTCTTTTTAACCTACAATTTTTGCTCCATTTTACCCAAGTGCATTTGGATTTTGTTTGCCCGCCTTTTTACTGTCAGCCATTACTCCGTCATTTTGCGAAAGAATCGAAGCCATTTTTATAAGCGATAAGGAATATTGCTGAATTGAAAATTTAGAGTGAGACAGCATTCTCGCGTACTTTTCAGCTAATTTTTTGCTGCAATTTCTAAAACTATCGTATTGCTTCTTTCTCAGAGGGAAATTGTTGCTCAAGTGGCTGAACCTGAAAATTAGACTGAGACGGCATTCTCATATACCGACTTCTCTTTCTTGCGCAACATAATCCTATCATCGGTAAACAACGGAAAACATTTTTACACAAATTTATAATAAATTATAATTCCAAATGACTGATGAACAAGTCCAGGGTTCCCAAAGGGACACAACCCTTGAGGAATTGAAACAACAACGTGGCTCATCAAAGGGGAGTATGACCCGAATTAAAAATATAATTGAATCCAACACTTCATTGTCTCATACAGAACTTGAGTGTCGTTTGGGAATTGTAGAATCCCACTACAAGCAAGCTTCTTACTACCAAAGCCAGATAGAAAGATTGTCTCCCAGAGATAATGGAAGAGCCGAAATTGAGGAACTATATGTTTCAATTAAAACTAAAATTCTTACTCAAATTGGGCAAGATAGACGTCCTAGTGTAACTGATCAATCTTTTGTGTTGCCTCATGTCCCATCTAATAGATTACCCAGCTTAAAATTACCGAAGTTTGACGGGAAATATCTGGAATATAAGAACTTTATAAATACGTTTAACAATTTGGTCCACAATGACCCAAATATTTCTACTTCGGAAAAATTCAACCACTTACTCTCGTGTCTTAGTGGGGAAGCGCTTGCAACCATAAAGGCATTCCAAGTCACTGATGAAAATTATTCTAGTGCCCTTAAAAGATTGAAGGAGCGGTACGATAATGACACACTAATCTTTCTTGAAAATGTGACATCAATGTTTGAACTTCCGAAGTCCAATAAACCTGTTCCAAAGCAATTGAGAAATATTGTGGATACAATTTCTGCTCTCTATAGCTCTTTGAAATCCCTTGGCTCCTTTGAACAAATTTGTGATGCCTTCATAATTCATCTCGCAATGAGCAAGGTTGATTCTGAAACCAAACAACGATGGGATGAATACATCGATTACTCTAAATTACCCTCTTGGACTGAATGTTGCTCCATGTTGGACAAGCGTTGTCAGCAATTGGACGCACAGTGCCGACGGTCTTCAAAACAGCATAACCCTACCATAACAACAAATTACTCACATAGTAATAATCAAAAACAACATTCATTCGTAACAAAAAATGTGGCTCAAGATTTTGTGTGCAGTCATTGCTCCAAATCGGGTCATATGATATCAACTTGTCAGCGGTTCATCGTTCTTACTCCTAATCAACGAATTGAACAAGCTAAGCAACAAAAACTTTGCCTCAACTGTTTATCAAAAGGGCATGGTTACATACAATGCCCCTCAAAATATTCATGTAGATTTTGTAAACAACGTCATCACTCGCTTCTTCATAAGCAATTAGAACCAACCTGTCCCCAGAAAGAAGAAGAACCGTCATCATCATCTGCTGCTACAGATAGCACCTTTCAAAACAAACCCAGTCCCCAAGTGAGTGCTGTTATTCTTGCTACTGCATTAGTATTGGTTCGTGACTCAGAGGGAAAATATCAATTGGGCCGTGCTCTGCTTGACTCTTGCTCTCAAGTTAACTTCATAAGTGAGACATTATGCAAATCTCTTAATCTCAAGAAATGCACAAATTCAACAGATGTCTCTGGAGTTGGCTCTTCGAAGTTGAGAGTCACTCATAAAACACAAACGACAATAAGATCTCGTCTTAATAACTTCAATATGTCATTAGAGTTCCTGGTTTCTCGCAATATAACTGGTTATCATCCTGATGAGAATCTTTCCGTTAATGATTTCAATTTGCCCTCCAACATAGAGCTAGCTGATCCAGAATTTCATCGTCGACGAGGAATCGATATTTTACTCGGAGCAGAATCATTCTTTTCGCTCTTATCCGTTGGTCAAATTAAACTTGGAGAAAATTTGCCCACTTTACAAAAAACTCTCTTGGGATGGATTGTCTCTGGAAAGTATACAAGTCAAACGGCAATATCATCACAAAGGTCTACTTACTCCATTGTACAACACAAAGATATTTTCCAAGAGATAAATAAAAATATTGAAATGCTATGGAAAATTGACGTCGTTGAAAGCAAATGCCAAAATATGTCCCGAGAACAAAAAGTATGTGAAGACCATTTTGTGAAAAATGTATCAGTTCAATCGGATGGACGCTTAATGGTGAGATTACCCTTTAAAGGTGACCCAAATGTGCTTGGCGATTCACGAGACATTGCCTTGCGTCGTTTCTTTTCCATAGAGAGAAAATTGAACAAAAACCCTGAATTAAAAGAGGATTACTCACAATTTCTTAAAGAATATGAGGAATTGGGCCATATGTCTCAGGTGGACGACACTAATATTTCAGTTCCCAACTATTACATACCACATCACTGTGTTCTTCGCCCCAGCAGTGTGTCGACCAAGTTGCGTGTTGTTTTCGACGCATCATGTCGAACCTCTTCACAAACATCCCTGAATGAAATTATGATGGTGGGTCCAACAATCCAGAACAATTTATTAATTACTCTGCTTCGTTTCAGGTGTCATCGTTACGGAATGACAGCTGATATCGTCAAAATGTATCGTCAGGTTTTGGTTCACCCTGAGGATAGACAACTTCAGCTTATACTGTGGAGAGATGACTCCACCAAACCGATAAAAACATTTGCCCTCAACACCGTTACATACGGGACAGCTTCGGCACCATATCTCGCAATTCGAAGCCTACATTATGCCGCAGAACGTTTTCCCAACCCATACGAAGTAGGAAAAGGCATAATCATGAATGATTTTTATGTCGACGATATGGTTACTGGAGCGGATGACCTTGTATCTTTAAAACGCATTAAGAACGAAGTCACCGAAATTTTATCTTACTCGAAATTTTCACTCTCGAAATGGCATAGCAATTACCCAGGTTATGTCTCAAGTGAAGATGAAGTAAAAGAAATGAAGCTAAATGATGACGTCACAAGTACTTTGGGTATGACATGGCACTCAGATAATGACACATTCCATTTTGAGTTTCGCCCATCCAAAACGTATGCACATAATACGAAAAGAAACATTCTTTCCCTGACGTCGACGCTCTTTGACCCAATGGGTTTAATAAGCCCTCTCATCATCAGGTCAAAAATATTGCTCCAACATCTTTGGATCATAAAATGTGATTGGGATGAATCAGTTCCTCAAGAAATTGAATCAGCGTGGGAATCCATCATGGCTGATTACAATAATTTGTCTCAAGTAAAGATTCCTCGATACATTCGACTGCCAATTCAACTAACATAGAGGTCCATGGATTTGGAGATGCTTCAATAAAGGCATATGGTTGCTGTTTATATCTTCGCTGTGAAGATTATTTGGGAAACATAGCAGTAAATTTAATCGCATCAAAGTCAAGAGTTGCGCCTTTGAAAACGAGAACATTGCCTCGATTAGAGTTGTGTGCTGCTCATTTACTCGCAACCTTCTGGAGCCAATTAAAGCAATATTTTAAATTCCCGATTTCTCAAATCTACTTTTGGTCGGATTCTCAGATTACTCTTCATTGGATTAAGTCCCACTCTTCAACCTTGTCTACTTTTGTGGGTAACAGAGTAGCTGAGATTCAAGAAACTTGCCCTGATGTCCTATGGCAATATGTTCCTACTGAACACAATCCCGCTGATTTAGTATCCAGAGGTTGTTCTGTCTCCGATATATTGGTTTCGCCTTGGTTCGTAGGCCCTTCCTTCCTTGTGGGTCCATTTTTCAATTGGCCAAATTATTCTGGCCCAAGTCTAAGCGAAGCGGACATGCATCTTGAAAGACGAAAAATTACATTGATAACAAAAAAGGAGGACTTACCCTATATCCTAAAAGCAGTCCATAAATTCAGTAACTATTTAAAATGTCTCAGAATATTCTCATATATATTTCGAATTCGTTCAAGGAAATCGCTTCACTTGCCCTCTATATCTCCAGATGAGTTGACACATTCTCTCCATAGGATAGTCTGGTGCATTCAACAACATTATTTTTCGGAGGAATTCCTTGAAATATCAAAGCATGGATTTGTCTCTGGTCAGCTGTCATCATTGGCTCCATTTATAGAAGATGTCTCTGGAGTGCAATTAATAAGAGTTGGCGGCCGATTGTTAAATGCCGAGCTTACACCAGAGATGAAGTTTCCTTTGCTCCTGCCCAAAACCGATCCCTTCGTAAAAATCATGGTGATCTACATTCATCGCTCTAATTACCATGCTGGTCCAAGAGCCTTAGTATCTTTGGTTCAGCAGCAATTTTGGATTGTCAATTGTCGGTCTTTGGCCCGAAAGGTGGTTCATCAGTGCATACATTGCACAAGATACAAACCGAAATTACTCACTCAGGTAATGGGCAACTTACCCAAGGATCGAGTTACCGGTTTCCGCCCATTTGATGTTGTTGGAGTTGATTTTGCTGGTCCCATACCAACGTATCTCAGGATTCGAGGGAAAGCTCCATCAAAATCCTACATTGCTGTCTTCGTTTGTTTCGCATCAAAGGCAGTACACCTAGAAGCGGTATCCGACTTGTCCAGCGAGGCCTTCATAGCAGCATTAAAGCGGTTTGCTGGCCGCAGAGGTGTACCGTCAAGAATTTATTGCGATAACGCTACCAATTTTGTTGGAGCAGAGAGGAAATTGAGTGATTTTCATAAATTTTTCCACCTCGACAAAAATAAGGAAGCAATTGCTCATTATTCATCTGCGAAGTTCATAGAATTTTCCTTCATTCCTCCCAGAGCTCCTCATTTTGGTGGACTATGGGAAGCTGCTGTGAAATCAGCTAAAGGCCACTTGCTCAGAACGCTCCCTAGTGCTCGTCTTACATATGAAGAGCTATGCACAGCCCTTGTTGAAATAGAGGCAATTTTAAATTCCCGTCCTATCTGCCAGATATCCACAGATCCCAACGACTTAGAAGCGCTTACTCCAGGGCATTTACTCATTGGTTGCCCGTTGCAGTGTATTCCAGAGAAGATAAAATATGACTCTGACATTTCTCATCTACAACAGTGGCAACGAATCTCAGCCATAAAGTCTCATTTCTGGAGCAGGTGGCACACAGAATACTTGGCTCAGTTACAAAATCGTTATCGCTGGAAAAACCCACAACAAATTCTTCAAGTCAACGATATGGTGCTCATACACGAAGACAATGTTCCCCCCATGAAATGGGCCATCGGTCGTGTTACCAAACTTATTCCAGGAGCAGACGGTTTTGTTCGAGTGGCAGAAGTCAAGACATCACAAACTACATTAAAGCGTCCCGTGGTAAAGTTAGCCGTACTTCCTAAAGAATAAAGTTTGATTGAAACCAGGGTTTCAATGGGGCCCGGGATGTTAAATCACTCAAATGATTTTTTAATATTATTTAAATTTGATTTGTTGCTCAAAGAGCATTTTTGAAAACATAACATTATTTAAATTAATTATTTTCAGTACTTAATATTTTAACGCTACAAGAGCCACCTTAATGTCATTTTTTCTGTTTTCCCTTTTCTATTATTTACTTTGAATTCGCCCTAAAGAGAATCCATCATAACTAGCATTGTTATTGTAAATATGGATGAGCAGTCAGACGATCAAGTGATAGGCAGAGAACGCACATACGTACAAACATACATACATACGTTGAGTGCATCATATCTGTTTATGTTATTGCTCTGCCTCTGCTGATCGCTCTGCTGCTATTCAATGCAAAAAATATTGTCCCGCTATTCCTTTGGTTCTTAAACCAGAATAGAAAAGAAATAAAACATTCTTATTTGAAACAACTAAAGAGTGAAGAAGTGTTTTAATTTGGTGACGGGCTAGAGGCAAACAAAAAAGGAAAAAATAACCCAACACAGTGGTTGAGTAAAAATTGCAAATTAATTTTGGAGAAAATTGCATAAAAATTAAGCTAAAAGTGGAACTAAACGAAGGCGAGAATTTTGGCGTGTCTCAACAGAGGAAGAAAATATTTGGACAAATTGCTCTTCCAGGAGAAAGAACTTGCTCAGGGAATTCTACTTGCTGTTGGATAACCGTGGTCAGATTAAAGGCGGAGAGGTGTATTAAAACACCTTTGTCGTAAGTGGCCCTATAGACAACACAATTGCCCAGAGTAAGTCAATTTACATACTCAAGTCGAACCCTTGAGTTAGGAGTGTGTTTAATTACATATGAAACATATTCCGGGGTTGTCAAAATAGGCAATCCTCAAACACCTTCTCTTGTAGCAAGTAAGATATACTTTCATGAATATACAAAAAAGGAAAAAATCCGTAACAAACGTAACATTAACAAAAACGCAACGCCAAAAAATTACGACTAAAAACAATGAAGGCAAATGAATTCAATTTAAGGGACATAAAAAACAGCAAAGTAGACTATTTAATTTGAACAAGCCATACCATGTTTTTTTTTTTTTTTTTTTTTTGGTGTTTTCAATCCTTTGGTTCCAAGGGCCACAAAAAAAGAAGAAATCACTTCCATTTAATGTCTTATTTTACGCATTTTTGTTGTTTGTTCCGGAATTCCACAGCAAAGCGCGACAAAAATACTTTGCTGTCATTCTGATTTTAATTAAATTGTTTCGCTTGTTATTGTCAACAATTAGACAGTTGTGGAAGGAAAAAGCCAAAAAAAAACGGGGGCGAGAGACACGACCAAATGTCGATATTAACAAATAACAAAAAACAAGAAAAGCAAGGCAATGAAATTTCAAAATAAAAAAAAAAGTATAAAATTGAATGCGTGTCAAAGGATTTGATTACGCGTCCCAAATGTCATCCAATTATTGTTGATTGTGTCACATTTTTTTGTTAAAAAAAGTTTTTCTCTCCCGCTGGAATTTCTTTTGTGGGATATTTGGATGTCAAGTTTTATTGTCGTTGCTTCAAAATTTTAAGGCTTTTTGACATTTCGAGAATTATTTATCACTCCATGAGGATTTCATCTGCGATGTGTCTAAGAATAAATTTATTTTAATTTCTTAAGAAAAAAAAACTTGTTTATATTAATGCAACTTTGGAACGGTTTAGGATGGATTATTCCCACAGCGTTGTTTTCATACACCTATTCAAGCATGTAAATCTCTACAAATAAAGTCCACTGTCAACTACCTCGAAATAACTAAAATCTGAGGTATCTTTATATAAGGTCTGTACCAAAACGTCATGTAAAATACCTCTATTGATAATTAATTGTTCGTAAGAAGAATTTTAATATAAAGAAGTCAAAATTTGGCAAAATTAAATGAACAAAAAGTTAAAAAGCTTTAAGTTCGGCCGGTCCGAACTTTGGTACACCACCATTTGGTACAAATTTGGCAATTTTCAAAAAATTAAATCCATTAAAAATTCTGTTAAAATCTTAAAAATGTAGACGCATATTAGAGTCAACGTTGACCTGCATAGGAAAATTTTGTCATAAGCTATTACAATATTCAAATGCGAATCTTCAAAAAAATCTTTTTTTTTTTATTATGTATATAAAATCATCAAAATATCGAATATAGGAAGGTACCATGGGGGTTATAAAACGTGGACCTGCACAGACAATTTTCATAGTCTGTAGTATTCATTACGAACTTCAAATACCAAATTTGAAATTGTTCCGGTAAATAATGTCTCTAAAATCATCAATATACCCAATATCGGGAGGTACCGTTATTACGAAGACGTGGACCTACATAGCTCATTTTCTGTCTTAGGCTGTAGTATCCATTTCGAACTTCAAATACCAAATTTGAAACAATTCCGGTAAATAATGTTGCTAAAATCACCAAAATACCGAAAATCGGGGGGTACCGTTATATGGGGACTATACGAAGACGTAGACCTACATAGTCCATTTTCAATATCAAAAGTCCAGCAGACATAATACACATTTGAGTAATTTTTTATCAACTTATTTTATTTCGTTCAAAAGCTAGAATGATTTCCACGGATGGATAGACGGACGGACATTGCTAAATCGACATAGAATTTATGCTGACCAAGAATATATATACTTTGTGGCGTCTAAAATGTATATTTCGAGGTGTTACAAACGGAATGATAAACTTAATATACCCTCCATACTATGGTGGAGGGTATAATAATGACGAAACAAAAAATGATAAAAAACGATGTAAAGAGGTAGTTTTGGAAGTACAGCGTGACATAAAAATACTGCAACAAAGTCAAACTCCAAAATTTTTAAATTTTTTTTTTTTAAATTTATTGAATGAAAGCAAAAAAACGGAAATATCATCAAAATTTAGAATAAGTTTAGATTTGTTCGAATTGGTCACCTTTGGCACGAATTATGGCCTTCAAACGGCCAATGAAACCGTCACATGCTGCCCGAATGTTGTTCTGCTGTATTTTGGCCCATTCCCGGCGAAGCGCTTGCTTAAGGTGATCTTTGGTATTTTTTAGCGCCAGCCTTGCTTTCCAAAATACTCCAGAAACATTAGTCCAACGGATTGGTATCCGAAGATTTGGGTGGCGCGTGCTGAGGGCGATGGTGCTGTCCAAGGTCTGCGGCCAAAATCATCGTTCACGATGATTTTGTTTGTTTACAAACTGCTGGACAACGAATGTTTTCTCATCGGCGAAAGCCAAAATCGGCAGTTCATCAGTTTCGGCCAAGCGAAGCAACTCTTTAGCTCTTTTGAGTCTATTTTCTTTCTGTTGCGGTATAAGTCCTTGCAATTTTTGGAATTTCAATGGCTTCACCCCGAGCTCATTTTTCAATATTTGCCGAATAGAATATTGCGATATGTTCAGCTCACGAGCCATTTTTCGGCCACTGCGACGCGGGTTTCGATCAAGTCGCTTTTTTACTTTTCGAACCATTTCTGCTGATGTTGCTGTTTTCTTCCGTCCACTTCCGTTGGGCTACGCTACCAGTATAACGAGTGATGGAACGAGACACGAACGATTTATTCACATTTAAATGCTGAAGTGCTCTAACGACAGCTACTTTTGGTTTTCCAGCCAAATATAAAGAAATCTCTCTATCACGCTTGAATTCTGTTACGAATATTTTTTTTTTCTGGAAAATTCTCACCAAAATGCTTTTGTAAAACAAAAAACTACCACTTAAATGAAAACCGTTATATGGGGACTATACCAAGACGTAGACCTGCATACGAATTTTTTTGTCATAGGCTGTAGTGCACATTAAGAACTTCAAATACGAAATTTATAACAATTACGGTGAATAGTGTCGCAAAAATCATGAAAATATGGACTATCGGGAGGCATTATATGGGGCTATACGAAGACGTGGACCTGCATACGATTTTTTCGCCATTAAGATAAGATATTTTAAACGATTCCGGTGAATAATGTTGCTGAAATCATCAATATCCCGAATATCGGGAGGTACCGTTATATGGGGGCTATGCGAAGACTTGGACCTGCATACAAAATTTTTTATCATTGGCTGTAGTACCCATTAGAACTTCAAATACGAAATGTGAAATAATTCCGGTAAATAATGTCGCTAAAATCATGAAAATACCGAATATCGGGAGGTACCGTTATATGGGGGCAATGACAGAGTTAGTATACCCTCCACAGAATAGTGGAGAGTTTTAAAGGAAATATTTTAATAATATAAAAATACAGAAAATGCTGTCAAACTGAACAAATTGCATTTTGAGTACTCAAAATGCCTAAGAGAAATCTAAAAATGTAAGGTGGACTTTTCATTGACGAAGTAATGGCCACTTACTTCGTTAGAAATATATCCTTAAATATTGGGATGTCTTGTATATAGCCAAGGTAATCTGTCAAGGAATTATCCTGTATTTCTAACCTACCGGATATACAGAAGCGAGTTGTTTTACACTACCTTTTAACGGGTTATTCGGCTCAGCTATAAAGTTTCGGCTACGACGTAATCATTGACCAATCGTTGACCAAGAAATGTTGTTTCCTTATTCATTTGCATTGAAATGGAAATTATATATGTAGGATTATAATACTATTTGTATGTCATATGCATACAAATGTTCAATTGCCTTGTTTTATACACCACACCAACAAAAGAAAAACATGAAATTGAATTGCCATATAAAATCTATATCCTTTGCAGTTCATTTACATCGCAAAAATAAATGAATATTTAAAACCTGTTTTTTATTTGTTCAACTCGTTTACAAAGTTACGTGTAAACCCTATACGTGTACATAACAAAACCATGAGATTAAACCGCAAAATAGACCTCAAAATAATGTAGAAAATACAAGAGCACATTTGTACCAAACGCAATTTTTTTACATCAAAGTCTGTTTGTCTGACCCCATGCACATGGTCAAATAATAG